GATTTACTGCTTAACATGTACCCATTAACCTTGAATGTTCAAATTGGACCCTTTACCAACACCTCTATACAAAACCCTGCAGAAAAGACCCACACCAACACCTGTGAGAAACTATAAAACCCAATAAAAAAACTGATAAAAAGCCCTTAGCTATTTGGGAGTTTCCGAAATTAGGGGTACCTTATTTTGGGGTCCTTATAATAAGGAACCTACTATTTAGGGTGCTATATTAGGGTCCCCTATTTTCGGAAACCCCCATGTAATCCCCTAACCCTGAAACCCTAAACTCTAAACCCCAAACTAGTGTACGGTACAGGGCCGCTAAACAAAAAAGCAACCCCTCCAGGCCTTCCAAAAGCCCCCCTACTTCAGGAACAAAAAGCCGCGAATGAAAGTAGGATCCCTAAAGTTATGGTTAAGGTCTATTAGGGGTTTAGGGTTTAGGGTTTAGGGTCCATTCCTTCATTCCGGGATTTTGGAGGGTCTGGGTCGTCTAAGTCTGAGCCCGAGGTTGGCCCTCCTTCGTGAGCCTCTTTCCGTGGCCTCGGGTTTTACACCCTTCGTGAGTGTCTCGCCTGATGTTGCATTGGAGTTTATGGTAGCAGCCCAAAAGTTGGAAACCCAAGTAGCCTCAATCTTTAAGAGTAATGTCTAGGGAATCCCAGCACCAATTGGCCTTAATCCGGTTTCCAACTTTTTGGGGTTTACTTTCGGCGTCGTTTTTCAGGGCTCCTTGTGTTTCCTTTCGAGTCTGCTTGGAGGATTGCTTTCAAGGGCTCCTTCAAAGGGTTTTGAGAGTTTTTCAGGGCTCCTTATGGTTCCTTCTTTATTCCTTCTTTAAAGTCTTTTTGAAGGGTTCCTTTCAAGGGCTCCTTTATCGATTTTCTAGGAGTGTGGAGGGCTGAGGTTAGGGTTTGGGTAGAGACGGCTTGGGGTTTGGGGTCTAGGATTTGGGGTTTAGGGCTTGGGGTTCAGGTAAAGATGGTTCAGGGTTGAGGATTTATTGTTTAACCCTGGGGGTTCAGGTAGAGACTGTTTTAGGGCTGGCCAAGATCCGCGCGGCAGTTTTTGGCAGGGTTCAGGATCAGGTTCGTAGGCAGTCTTCATCAGCAAAACACCACGACTGACCCTCACCATAACCTATACGTCTATAACCCTTAACCTAAACCCTCGCGGAAACACAACCCGGAACCCGAAAGAGCCCGAAACCCTAAACACTATAAACCCTATCCCCAGAGAGCCCAGTACCCCTTAAATGAGGAATACACCTTACAAATTATGAAGGTCTTCATTTATGGCTTAAGCTATATCCCTAAACCCTAAACCCTGAACCCGTACCATGTACCTAAATAGTAGATACTTGGCCTTAAAGTAGTCCCTATTTGGGTATTAGGGTTTCGGGTTTATGGCTTAAGGTTTAGAGTTTAAGGGTTAGGGGTTTGGGTTCCTGAGTGCATTGTTGCATAGTTTTTTGAACTCTACAGTCACTACATAGCTTTATCACTCTTAGGATTAGCCTTTTTGGTACCAGGGGTACTAAAAGTTATAGTTTTAGCAAGGTAGTAAAGAGCAACCCAGATAAGACGACCTGAGCACTCTGCACCAGGGTTTAGGGTTGAGGGTTTGGGGTTTGGGGGTAGGAGTTTAGGGTTTAGGGGTGTGGGTTTGGTGTTCCTGAGTAGTACCCTTTTGCTCTTCTTATATTGTGGCTCCTTATTAAAACTGAACAGCACGAAAAACGGTACCCTTGTTATTAAGGGGTCACTCAGGAAGCTATTCTCTCACCACTGCACAGGGTTTTTTGGGTTCAGGGGTTGAGGGGTTTGGGTTTTGGTGTTCAGGGTTTAGGGTTTTGGGGTTTTGGGGTTCACGGAGTAGGGTTTTGGGGTCGAGGGGTTGAGGGGTTTGGGTTTTGGGGTTCAGGGTTTAGGGTTGAGGGTGTAGGGTTTTGGGGTTTAGTCAGATCAGTCCATCTCGTAGGGTTAGATGTGGCCCACTCACATGAAGACCCCTTGGTTCATGAACCACCTTCAAGACCGAGACCTGCTAGGATCCCTTTTGAAATCCCTGTTCAGAAACGTTCACTAGATTCCTGAGTCGTACCCTTTTGCACTTTTTTTATTTCGACTTATTACAACCGAATACTAGGAAAAAGGGTGCCCTTATTATTTAGGGGTCAATCAGGAACCCTAAGCCCTAAACCCTAAACCCCTAAACCCTAAACCCTAAACCGTATTAATCAGAACATATCAGGTCCAAGGAGTGAGTTTCAATCCCCAACCTGTCTGAGCCAAACCTTCCCTAAACCCTAAACCCTAAAACCCTAAACCCCTAAACCCCCTAAACCCCTAAACCCCCTAAATCCTTAAAACCTAAACCCTAAACCCNNNNAAACCCCTGAACCCCAAACCCTCAACAATTCAGTTCTGAGCCCTGACTAAAGCTGCGTCTCAGGGCTGACCTGAACCGGAACTCTCGAACGAAGCTGACTTTTTCAGGACTTGGGTAGTTCTCTAAAGTGGGGGTCCCTTTTGGGATCTTTTTTTCTAAGGATGCCGTACGATAGTGGAGACCTAAACTGAGACCCTGATTTAGATGACTGCCCACTTAGATATCGCACTCAGAATAAGGAACCCTACACAGGCAGTTCTCTTTGCTTTCACGACTTTGGGCTTGAGGGTTTAGGTTTCGGACCTGCCCCCCCCCCCNNAGTCCCTTAGAGGGTTTAGGGTTTAGGGATTTAGGGATTTAGCGTTTAGGGATTTAGGGATTTAGAGTTTAATTAGGGTTTTAGCGTTTAGGGTTTCGGGATTTAGGGTTGAGGGTCGGGTAGGCCCTGCACACTTCTGAGGCACCATCGGCACCGTTCGGCGCGGTGAGGTGCGCAGGGACTTGGTGTTGGGGATGCCCGCAGTCTTTGTGTGCGGGACTTAGCTTCACATGGGAGTTTCTGAAAATTATAGGTACCTTATTTTGGGGTCCTGAGACAAGGGATCCTATTATTTAGCATACTATATCAGGGCCCCCTATTTTCGGAAACCCCCACATAGTTCAGGACGGGGTTGCCTTATGGTCTAAGGTTAGAAGTATGGGCCCCTAGTATGAACCCTTAGGCCTGTCTAGGGACCCTTAAGGGTACATATATAGGGTATATAGTAGGTTTATAAGGATCCCAGGCTTAAGGGCCCATACTAGAAATGCATGGTTTCAGATTGAGATATGGGATACCTTAAACCCCAATTCAGAACCCTAAGCCCAAAGCCCTGAAACTCAAATTCGAGCCTAAACCCGTAAACCCTAAACCCTAAAACCCAAAAACAAAAACCTAAACCGTTTGTGGTGTTGCGTAGAGGAACAAAGCTCGAAATGGCAGTCCTAGACCCAGTCAGAGAGGCCTCTGAATAGAGGTACCTGCGCAGTGGCTTACCGTTGTTTGGGGTTCAGGGTTAGGGTGTTGAGAGGTCCCCAGAGAGCCCAACCACTCCTTACCTCAGGAATGTAAAACTTCAAGTTTTAGGCTGTTCTTATTATGGTTTGAGCCATACTTTTTCGTCAAGGGGTATTGGGCCCTCTGCGTCCATACCCTTTAACAAACGAAGATACACCTTCGACTCATGTGAGGATGTTTCTGAACTCCGACAGTGTTGAGTTGATGTTTGCTCTTCAGGGGCGTGAACTTAACGTTTAGGATTGAGGCTTTAGTCGTCAATGTTGTTTTGGCTCAAGAACTTGAGAGTTCACGGGGTAAGGGTATTCTAGCTGAGTTCCAGTCTGGGAGAGCTTTTGATTTCCACAGTTGGTCAACGATGGAAGTTCCTAAACCCTAAACCCTAAACCTGGGGTGTGTCGCACGCCAGGCCCAGCTCAATCTGGTAATAAACCCTTAAAGCCTTAAACCGTTAAACCCTATACCGAAAACCCTGAACCCATAACCTCAGACCCCAACCCCCCAAACCATACACTCCTCAGAAATTGGACAGGCCACTTCTTCGGGATCCTTCTTGACTGCACAACCTAACCCACTCAAAGCCTATTCGCCTTGAATTATCGTAGACCTTCGTAATGGGATTTAGGGTATCTTACCATTTCCTTAACTCAAGGAGTTTGGAAGATCTGGGAAAGCTTGGATAGTTCCCCGCTACTACTCCTTACGGCCCCCATTAAACCCTAAACCCCGCAACCCTAAACCCTAAACCCCCCTGCTTAAACAGAAAAACCTAAACCCTAACCCTAAACCCCTAAACCCGAAACCCTCCTTACGGCCCCCATCTATGGAGCCCCCCCACAGCCTGCTCTGATAAGCTTAAGGCGGGATCAGGTGTGAGATCCACAACGGCCAGACCTTCTAGTATCCCGTCAAAAAGGAATAGACCAAATACAATATGGGAGTCTCCGAAAATGAGGGGTACCTTATTTTGGGCCTTATAATAAGGATCCTATTATTTGGGGTACTATATTAGGGTCCCTATTTTCAGAAACCCCCATATAGTAGGATCCCTAATATGATTTAAGGTATACTCCTTGATCTGGGTCTACCTGCAGCATTTGCTGAAACCTAGCCAAGGATGAGGATTGGAGCATTGCCGAACCAAAGATCGTGACCGGAACGCTCTACGCAAGCGAAGGCATGCTAGAGTAACTAAGGTATTATGCAAAAAGGATAGCTATGACCCCAAAACATAGTTAAGCTTCCCTTAGCAAGGTAAGTTGGTAATGTCTATGTAAGCCCTAAACCCTAAACCCTAAACCCTAAACCCCTAAACCCTAAACCCCTAAACCCTAAACCCTAAACCCTAAGGTAAACCCGAGACCCTGCCATGAACCGAGCCCTACCATGTGCCGACTCGTGGCATTTGCTGGCTTGGGGCTGGTTTTACTGTCATCTACGCAGCAGCTTAGTTCTCCAATACCCAACCTTTAAACGTTTTGGATTCTTTTTGTTTAGTAGTAATTATCGGAAAGTTTAGTCTTTTATTTCCCTGGCTTATTGGAGAAGCAAGGCAGCATTATTATTTTGCCCTGTGGAGATGCCTCGACTATGCATGCATCAAACGTGGGGAAACCCATGATGAAGATCGCTTTTCGCATCCATCGCCAGGTGGTGCCAGCACCTTTGTGCTTGAGTTGATGGACTGAGTTCTTGTTTAATGTGTATAGGCTCTTCTAAGACGGAGGTGTGTGTTTTTTCAGTACTCAGATCTCCATTAAGGTATTGCGACGAGTGAGGCGATGGGCGCGGTCAGCACGAGCGCTGCGAGCATGTTCATGAGCACCAGCGGCTCGTCTTCCGTTGCTGTGACAAGTGTTGGCAGCCTCAAGACGTTGAGCGCCACGAACCCCCTGCCAGAAAGTGTGCTACGTGACTATATGGCATCGTGCAAGCACGACTTCAGCGGCAGGCTCTACCGCATGGAGCGGAACTATAGTGATGGGCAAGATGCAGCAAGCCATGGGGGCCTAATGTTGATGGATGCGTTTCTGCACCCTTCCAACCAATTTGCGTATATCCAGTTCAAACTGCAAGGTAAGCGCCCGGATGGTGTGGGGTTCACCGTCGGGAAGAAGCAGGTCCTCTTTGCTAGAAACGTCACGTGGAACTGCTTTTGGGTCTCACCCGAAGATCCCTCGCGGTTGCTGCACACGGCATCAGATTCGAATTGGCAAGACCGAACACACAAGGGGCGAGCAGATGATCTCTACCAGTTAGTCATAGCGAGGTGCGATGCCGGTAACGTGGCTGCTGGCAGGCTTGAGAAACCTCTGCTGATGAACATCACGGCGACAGCTTCGGGCAAGATTCTGGCACATTGGGAGAAGATCCGGGTATGTCACGAGCCCCTTTCCCCGACTCCGATTCGCTCGATCGTCTGCACCGGAACCCTGCGGATAGGAACCAATCCGCACTCTGGAGTCGTGTACGAGCCGAAAAGCATGGACCCGTACATCAAGAATTGGGTGGAATACAGCCTTCTTATCGGCTCTTGGGCTCACAACCCTATGCCCTAAACCCTTGAACCCTCACACCTCAAAGCCCTAAACTGGCCCTAAACCCGAGACCCTTGTAAGGGCTTGCTGGAATACAGCCTTCTTACCGGCTTCTGGGTTCGAAAGTTAGAGGCAACCCTAAACCCTAATCCAGGGTTTAGGAGTTTAGGATTTAGGGTTTAGGGTTTAGGTCCTTAAACCCTAAACCCTAAACCTTAAACCCTAAACCCTAAACCCTTTTTTTTATGAGGCTTCGACATGGTCTTGATCTACTTCGAGGACAAGGACTTGTCCCCGATCGAAGCCTCGGTTCTCCAGCAGTAGCCTTTTCCCCTTTAGGGTTCAGGGCTTTGGGTTTGGTTTAGGGTTTAGGGTTTAGGGTTCCGGGCTTGAGGCTTAGGGCTTTTAGGGTTTAGGGTTTCCACTTTTTCTTTGCAGGGTTTTACGGGTTGAGGTATTAAAGCATAGTACAACGAAGTGGTAGGAAGAAGGGCACCGGTATTGTATTGTTAAGGGGCTACTGGGAAACCTAAGAGCTTGGCGCGCAGTAGTATCCTCATACTTTGTTGCTCTTTGGGACTGTTCTCTATTTGCAACGCATTGATTCTTTGTAAGCAAAAACATTGGTTCTGGTTGGAGAACCCTAAACCCTAAACCCTGAGTATACTGATTATTGTCTGCATAGTAATCTCTCCCTCTAGCCGAGCGAGAAGGCCCTACATTACCCATTTTAGGGGGTGTCCTTGTTAAGCTGAGTACAAAAGTTGCTAAACCCTAAACCCTAAAAGTCCTCAAAGCCCCTACAGCCTAAAGCCTGTTCGTGCAGACAGCCAAGGAAGATATGCTCCGTCCGTACATCGACTCCAACAAATTGGTCCTGGTCAGATCATATTTCGAAGGTCGCTGGTCTGGCCCAGGGTGTACTTGGAGGTTCATGGGTAGTTATAAATGGGGTTGTAAATAGGGTAACTATAATTATAAACCACATTAGGGGGCTTATAACCATATTTATAACTACCCATGAACCTCCAAGTATATCAGAGGCCTGAATAATTCGTACTATGTTCGTTTAGGGGCCCTTAATTGCTATGGCATACTATGTGTGGTTCTAGTCGAACCTACCCCAAAGCCCTATTCTGACTTTTCAGACCCGAATATTGCATTTGGGGTCCAGGGCTTGGGTTACAGACTTTATGTTTTGGAGGTGGCTTGCAGGCTTCTTAGACAAATTGAACCCTAAACCCTAAACCCTGACCGAGAGCTTGAAACCCCCATGATGATGACATATACCTAGTCAACTAAGCTTCCTTCAAGCATGAGCTAGTAAGCCCTAAACCCCTAAACCCTACAACCCTAAAGCCAAAGCCCCTCAAACCTAAACCGTAAACTCAAAGATAATGTAGAGACTATTGTGGGGGTTCCCTATTTTAATTACAGTATGATATACCCCAAAGCCCCATTCTACTTATTAAGGCCCTTATATTATTTTGCTCGCTGGGCTGGCTGTCAGCAACTCCAAAGCTTCAGCAGCGGAGGTGTCACGGGCCATGGATGGAGCCCTTTGCTGCTCTTTCAGGAGAGGGTTTTAGGGTTTAGGCCTTAGGGTTTACCCTAAGGTTCCAAAGGGCCCAATGTTACAGATAGTAGTTATCTAGATTCATACCTGGGAGAGTATAGAATCTATATATATATATACACATATATATATATATATACATATGTATGTATATATATATATACGCCACCCCTAACCCCTAATCCCTTAAACCCTTAAGCCCTGGAACCCTTAAGTCCTAATTCCTAACGTTCAAAACCCGCTTCTAATGATTTCAGCCCCTGCATTAAACCCTAAACCCTAAACCCTAAACCCTAAACCCTAAACCCTAAACCCTGACCCTCTGAAGGAGAATCATTGCTTGTGGAGAGCGAAAGGTCTAGCAAGGTATGTTGCACACAACGACGTGGACGAGTGGGTGGATTTGAGCCTCATAGATCCTTTAGCACTGCCTGAAGAAGTAGACTATGTTCTTATATATATATATACATATGTATCTATTATGGTTGAGTATAGTAGTATAATGACCTGATAGTACTTATTCATCCAATTGAGAGAGAGAGAGAGAGAGAGAGAGACAGAGAGAGAGAGCGAGAGAGAAGTTGCACCTATGGCTCGACTCCCAATTGTCGGTTTCGGGATATAGGGCATACGGGGTGTACCGTGTAGGTTTCGGGCTTAGGGTTTGTGGCCTTGTGACCTCTAAGGAGTCCACAGTATCCTAACATCAACACCTACATGGATCGGACTATCGGGAGCCACGAATACCGGGCGATATCCATTCCGGAGAACCGATGGATCCTTCCTGGCCCGAAACGGTCGCGAGGTGCATACGACTTTGGCATCTACCCCTGTGATGAGATATGTGTCAGTCTCGACGGTAACAGGAACAAGTTGCTGATGGACACGGAGCGTGTTGATGGTTACTTCGTAGCGGAGTGAGTACACTTTTACACTTTGGGGATAATAAAGCTCTCTATAGAATACCATTGAGCGTTTACATTTTTTGGGTTTGAACTCTACACTACACAAAAAGCCTTAAAACCAAACCTCTTACACTATTTTGGGCTTATTGAACTCAGCAACTAAGGTTACCAGGTACATGTCATCTTTGTACCTGTTCAGAACGACACGACCGTCCGGACGCCACCAAGGGATGAGAAACTTGGTAGCTTTTAGGGTTTAGGGTTTAGGGTTTAGGCTGGGTAGGTCAGGTTGAGGGGGCTTGGTTTTGGGCTTTAGGGTTCAGGGGTCGTAGGGTTTAGGTGTCGGGTTTAGCGCATAGGGTGCAAAGCTTCCTTTCGGGAATACAACCCTGGCCCCAAACCCCAAACCCTAGATCCCACCCCACGCTCTTGAGCAAATCAATGCTCAAATTTTGTGTGTACCTTGACTGAGCAGCTAAGGATAAGACTGGTGCATCTTCGGCTGGCACACCTCACTATAACTCCGGTAGGTATGGTCGTCTGCGTTGAGAATTTCCCTGGCCCGATGATGAATTCTACTTTTGCCAGATTCATAAGAGAGAGGTGCCCGATGATTCTGCCGAACCTGCCCAAGTACAGTGAGCCACCACCATTTTGGCGCCGGCGACGGCAGGAGCGCGTGCTCCTCGGCCCGTGATGGCCTGCCCAGGCAGCCTTCTTTGCTCAGAGGGTCCGGCGGTGCCCTTGACCGCAGACTCGCCCTTGTTAACAAACACTCCTCATCTATTCCGGTTCAGGAGCGGTCTTTGTTAGTCAGGGGTCTACATCAACACCGTTTTCTTGGAAGTGGACGTCCAAGCAATCGTGCTCAATCTGCCAATGAGTTGAAAAGGGACATCGCGGCCGGTGTCATGGGGTGTTCCAGCTGCAGGAATCAGGGACCCTACTTGGAGGTTCATGGGTAGTTAGAAGTAAGGTTATAAGTCCCCTAAATATGGGTTATAATTACAGTTACCCTACTTATAACCCAACTTATAAGTACCCATGAACCTCCAAGTACCGGAAACCCAAATCAGGCACCTTTCACATTCGAGGCGTCCTCATTACGATTTATGTGCATGTGTCCTTAAAAGGGTGTGTGTCCTAGGGCCCTAGACCCCAAACCCTACTCCGGGGTTCGATATAAGGTCGTGAGCCCGTCAGTTGTGAGGCACAGTTGCTTGCCATTGGGGGTTTATGGGCTTAGGGTTTAGGGACGAACCAGTGGGTTTCTTCAAGGGCTTAAGGTTTGAGGGGCTTCGGGCCGTTTTATTATTAAAGTTTAGGGCTTCGGTGGTTTAGGGTTTGGGGACTTACTGAAACCTCCAAGAATTTTTCGAACCTGATTGGAATTGCAAAACCGAATCTCAATATATTATATAGGGGCCTAATTTTACCTATACTATTTTTTCTTCGGGGGGGGAAGGATCCTTAGTATAAGTCTACTGTAGTAAAATATACCCCAAAACCCCATGCTAATAACCAAGGCCCCTACACTAAGCCTGGCCTGGCCCTACACTCACGCTTGTGGGGTTGAGGCTTTAGGCCCGTTTAGGGTTTAGGGTTGGTTTAGGTTTAGGATTCAGGGTTTAGGGTTGGTTTAGGTTTAGGGTTAAGGGTTGGTTCAGGTTTAGGGTTTGGGGTTGGTTTAGGTTTAGGGTTTCGGGGTCTATATGGTTTTGGTCTAGGGCGCCTCCCAGTAAAGTGTGAGCTCAGGCCGTACAGCCCTAAAGCCCTAACATCTAAACCCTCGAACTCTAAACCCTAAACCCTAAACCCTAAACCCTAAACCCTAAACCCTCGAACTCTACATCCTGCAAGCCCTGAATCAATCCTACGATCCCTACTACGCTGCTGCAGGGGGCCGCCGTGCAAGAGCCGACTCAAGGACGCTATCTTAGTAACGGTTTAGGGTTTAGGGTTTAGGGTTTAGGGTTTAGGGTTTTAGTAAGTATGTTATCAGGTAAGTACTACAACCCCACTCAGGGTACTTGACAACTCTCCTTCGACCCTGCTTACTTACTTACTTTTGCCCTACATGCTCAGTCCAGTGATGCTCTAGGTGTCAAAGTAAGTCTCAAAGTATCCCTAAATCCTAATACTCTAAACCCTAAACCCTAAACCGAAACTGTTGAAGATCCACTTACCAAGACACTGATGCTCCAGGAACCACGTCGTCAGGCTTCAGGTTTTGTTTCGGGGTTTAGGGTTTAGGGTTCAGGGTTCAGGGGTTTTGGACAGGGTTGTTATCGGGTCAGTTGATGGGTTTTCGAGGGTTTAAGTTTTGTAGACCCCTATTGCAGTAATCCCGCTCGCGTTGTAAGGATAGCACTGGGGATCCTGGTGCGATGTCCCTTATAGAACGGAGTTTGTTGCCCAGCCGAAAATATTACAGTAGCTGGGTTCACGGAGGTATCCGGAGCCCGGCTGGCATCCCTAGTTATGGAACATACCCAAAGTGTGGCGGCTTAAAATCAAGTCAATGTTCCCTCTCTAGCTTAACGTGTGCCTGACTCGATGGATAGTGGCTCCCGCTGAAGGTTTCAAGGGTCGAGCGCTTCTGGCTTGATTTCACGATGAGGAGGCTTGGTAGATGGGTTGCAAGTAGGCTTTTGCGTCGGGTAACCCGGGCTGGGATACCCATATTCCTGCAAGTCAGACAGGTTCATTCGCTTGAACAGCATGTTGCTGTGAAGATGCCCTGAGTTTATTGTGTATCCTTGTACCTTTCTTTCGTGTTGTTTCTAGGGAGTGCGTGCGCAGTTGGTCTACTCTTGTTTGGTTTCTTTTCGCTCGGATTGATCTCGCATAATCAGAGAAGTACAGCATAGCCTCTCGGAGCCTTGTTCGTTCTCGTGGAGGCTGCTCGTCTAGCCAACTCTGCTAATTATACTCGTACGAAGTCACACAAGTATCGGACGATTACGAGAGCTTGCTGCCCCGTACCAGTTGTTGCTTTGCTTTACTCCCAGTTGTGTTGACCATGTGATGTTGGAGTAGACCTTCAGTGGTTGCCTTCTCCGCTGCGATCCATGTTTGATTGCACTGTGTTGTCTCTGCGCTGTCGTGTTGTACGGCGATATTACATGTACATCATTGTATGTGCGACTGCATGCTGTGGCGTGCGATGTCCGGAATCACAGAATGTGCGATGTGCGAGTTTCCAATATTGTGCCTTCATGTTTGAGGGTGAGCAAGGTTTAGGGCTTAGGGTTTTAGTACTTCGTGCAAGCAAGGCTTTCCAGCACGGTTTGTGCTCTAGGGTTTAAGGTTTAGGGTTTAGGGGTTTAGGGTTTAGGGTTTTAAACCCTAAGCCCTAAACCCTAAACCCTAAACCCTAGACCCTAAACCGTGGGTTTAGAGTTACTGTTGCAGGACACCGGCTTTTCTCGTTCGTCGGGGGCGAGCAAGGCCGGGAATGCTAGATCTCAGGATCCCAGCAGGAGCTATACACGAGGGGCCTGAATAATTTCCTATACTGTTTTGGGGGTCCCTATTATAACTATAGATACTATAGTATGATATCCACCCAAACCTTATTCTAATTATCAAGGCCCTTGCATTACATCCTAAACGCTGTTAAAAGAGACCTACCCTGCAATCCTAAGCCGTAAGTCGCCTGAACCGCAAGTGTAGACTGTATTCGTTGGGCGCGTGCCAATGTCGCTTTGTGAGCGTTTACTCGTCATGAAGACTCGGACACTCACCCACGCCCCTAAACCCTAAACCCCTAAATTCCCAAACCCCTGAACCCCTACAACCCTAAACCCTCAACCCTAAACCCCCAAAACCCCTAAACCCTCATCCCTAAACCCATTATTCACTACTTTCAGGGCTTTGAAGCTTGTGTGCAGTCGTTGCTGTCTGCTTGATGCACAACACGCGCTGGGCTTTTGGTGCGAGCTTTGCTCTTGGTCCCGTGTTTTCCTAGCCAAACTTTGGGATTTGCGCGCTTTGTGCGAGTGCAGTTTGGGTGTGCGCACGCGAGCGTTGTCGAAGTTGTCGGAGGTTTCTTGCTGGGCTTCGCTTGCTGTACATTCACTGCGCTGCTACCTATAAACATTCTCTGCCGCCCGAATACCCTGCCTGTTTAAGCGGCGGTAAAAAGAAAGCAGCTTTCAGGGTTTAGGGTTTAGGGTCTAGGTTTCGGGCAGGGTTTAGGGATTAGGGCTTAAGGCCTAAACCTAAACCCTACAACTGAAGACATGTAGGCTTGAAAAAGTACAGGACAACGAAGACCCCAAACCGACCCCTGCAGTCGCTCCTGTGGGATGTATTATGCAATGATGCTAAGGAAATATGTATGTATGTATGTATGTATGTATGTATGTATGTGTGTATGTATGTATGTGTGTATGTATGTATGTATGTATGTATGTATGTATGTATGTATGTATGTATGTATGTCTATATGCATAAAAGATATCATTATGGGCATATAAGTTAGTTTAAACATCAAAATACTCAACAAATATATATATATATATATCTATTTATATTTACACATACCCTGCACTTGACGATGTTTAGGTGCGAGTTGATATTGGGGAGCTAGCGCGAAGATGCGTCTTCAGCACTGCCTGGTTATGTTGATTTGTAGTGGAACATGCAATTTGGGGCTGTGGAGGCCAGAGTTGGGTCTTGTAGGTCCTCTGCAGCAACCACTAATGACTCTTTTCCCCAAAGCAGCATTTTGTCTGTTCCTTGTCGTTTATTGTTTGCTGGACTTGAACCTCGACTGCTGACCCCACGACCCTGCTCTTTGTTTGCTCCCCGCACTCGTGCATGCAACACCCAGCTACGTCGAACAGCATCAGCTTAATAACTTTCATCTTTGATCTGCCTTGCAATCGCTAGTTGGCCGTCATGCGGGGCAAACTACTTGAGCTGCACATGTGCACGACCCGTCCTTGATGCACATGACAACCACTGTCATCCTTGTGGTGCCCAACATGCGACCACAAGGGGATGCTGTAGCTCTGATTACTGGGCACCTGGTTAAGAAACCTCCGGTCTTTATTAGGTTTCTTCATAAGAGTCCTAGCATTCTGGCATCTTGAGGCCAGGGTTTCTGAATCAGGTTCCTACCGTGCACCCAAGCCATCGGAAGTTCAGTCTTGAAGCCTGGAGAGCTAGAGGAAGCCCCTGGCACGTCTCGCGCCACCCTCAACACACCTAGTACAGAGGTGGAGAGACCCTTTCACAAGAGCAAACAACAAGCCTTTCTAAACCCTGAAACCATAAACCCCAAAACCCTAAACCCTAAACCCTAAAACCCTAAAACCCTAAACCCTAAAACCCTAAACCCTAAATCCTAATAAGGGAACCCTACTCCATGAAGCCCTCATCTCCGAGCCCGAAAGGATGAACACTAAACCTCAACCGAAGGCTCCATGTAATGTAGGGGCCTCAATAAGGGTTTAGGGTTTAGGGTTTAGGGCAATAACTACCCATAGCATCTTGGGGGCTCCTTATAGGGTTTAGGGTTTAGGGTTTAGGGTTTAGGGTTTAGGGGTATTATTATGATTCTACTATAAAGGACCCCCAGAACCCTATTCCAATTAGTCAGGCCCCTACATGACCCCTGTAGTAGTTATATGCGTAAGCCTGGAAGTGGCAAAAGGGGGACTACTGTAAGGCCTATACCCTAAAACTTTA